TTATTAACGAAAAAGAAAGGTCTCTCTTTTTGGTTTGCTGGTATTCACATTACTACCAGCTCAGTGGAAATCAGTGCAGTAGGCGTAGCCTGGAGAAGAAACATCGGTATGGGGTTAGGCTGCAGTTCAGTTACCTAGATTAGCTTTTTTATCATGAAGAATTAGGTTTTTACATGGGATGGTCACCACTGTGTTTTGTCAGTGGATTTTGCACTCTGCATTTGTTTCTGTGCTGTTAAAAGTCAAATTTCATCTGAGAGCTATGATAGCTGGGTATAAAAGAAAGCCAACCCCGAAAAGGGGAAGGCTAAAATTTCTCCTTTGTTGTATGGCTTTATGTAGAGACACAGTGGCCCCTATTTGAGGAATTCACCAAGATGTGAATGCAATTTCCTGTAAAAATGGCCCTCCAGTGCGAACCTGGGTGTACACTGATTGTACTGGGAAATGTGTAGCCCAGTATGTAGCTGCAGCCACGTCAAGGAGGCTGTGGTTCTATATCATACAGACTTCTCTATTTTAATCAAAGCAAATTGAAAAAAGGCTACAAAAATCCCTGTCATTCTGTTATTAATAAAGTTGCTTTATGGCAGAAAGTATTCGATAGGAAGTTACTAGTGTTCATACATGTGCATCTTCTCACCTATGCTCTGGGTGAAGCCCTGGTCCCATTCAAATCAACCTGCCCTGGGTCTGTGGACTTCACCGTGAAGGTTGCAATGATATTGCACCTGGCTTTGTGTTTTCCTTAAACTGCTCGGATTTGCGCTGAATATTTTTGCAACACAGAAAAAAATGTCCAAATAAATTCTTATATGTTGATTTTCACATAAACGTATATCCACTGGTATATTAAATATTTTTAAATAGATTTTTGGCATGATAAAATAATTGCAACATGTATTTTCTGAACACAACCTGGCACCTGCCAGTTAGTTATAGGTGTAATGTCTGCAAAACCTCTGCAACTGTCAAGAAAATAATAATTTCAACTTCTTTTGGATAGATAATAGAGTCTTCAGAAGTATAAATTCAGAGAATATTCTTATACATTTCAATAAATTGAACCTGGAGCTGTTTCCCTCCCTTGCAGTAGTGGTTAGAAAGTACTTTATGTAGTAAACGATGACATGATGAGCAAATTATTAATGACACTTCTTTGTTTCTTGTGGTCTGGAGTAGCATGTCCATATTTATAGAGCTTTCACACTTAATATACTTTTTAAGCCTCATAAAGCAGATTATTTTTACCTTTACATAAGTGATCTAAAAATAGACAGAGCAGATACAAAGCAAGATATAGAAAATTTATCTTCTAGAATTCAGAAATAAAATAATAGCAAATTATGGTCCCAGAAACAGTTTGGATTTTTGCTCCCATGGCTCTTTGCTCTAACATTCGGATCGCTCTCCAAGGATTACATACTTATAAATTTAATAAGCAATGAATATTAAATTTTCAAGTTAAATGTATTTTAATTTTTGTACTGAGAAAATAATTTGTAAAGTTTTAGTGAATTATAAAGAGGAATATAAATATGACTTGTATTCTATAATTAATTTAATTTTTCCCCTCTGTTACTACTAGCAACCTGACACGTCTAAGTGCACTGGCTGAGCTTCCTAAGTGTGTATTTCCCGTTCATTTTCAGTATAACCAAACTGAGCAGAAGCAGTAACAACGTAGCAGTACATGTCCTTACAGAAATTTGGTCTGAAGTAGCATACAGAGAATACTTCCCATTACCCCCACCACCCCTCCCAGAATTTAAAATGGGCTCTGAACTGACACTGAGAGAAATTTTATACTCGCTTGATAAGGAGCATAAATACCCACAAAAGACAAGTAGAAATTTGAGTTAAACACTAATTGTTTACGGTTGCTGCTTCTCTGCTTTAATGTTTGAATCACAAAATGGGGGGGTTTTCAATTATTTTCTCAGAAATACACTCAAGTAGAATATGGATGCAACAGCACTGATTGGCTTCTCAAACACCATGTAAAAGATTTTCAATTAGATCCACTAATAAGCATAAAAACCATCTCAGGCTTACCTTTGAGCTCCACAGAATATGCAAGAACCTGTTGAAATACCGCTGTGGCCCAGAGTGCAGTTAGTCTGGCGGGAAGAGGGGAGCGCAGGTACAATAAACGTGGCAGTGTGACACCGGCCAGGAACACGCCGTACCGGCCAGGTGAGGTGGGGCAGCCCGTCGCTGCTGTCATGACCGAGCTCTGTCATTACAGAGTCCACAGAAATTGCAGTATTTATGGTAAAGTGGGTAGGCAGTGCTTATTGCCTAATCCTTTGAAAGTCTTTGAACTGGTATTTCAGAATGGTGACTTTTCTGTAAACTGTAGAAACTATTGTTCCGTGTACTATGCAACCATTAATTTAACAAAAGATAGCTGCTGCTTATCACAGTTTCCTACAGTATACTTTGTGAGATGGAAACTGGAAAAGGCGTGTCTCCTATGAAATAAAGGAGCAAAATGAGTTCTGATAGGAAAAACATGCTGCTAGAAATGGGTCTGATCCTATCTCCAAATATGTTCAGTATTTGCCAAAATTTAAGACACAATCTAAATCCAAATTTTCTGAATGTGTCAGATGTCATTAATTCTTTCTTTGGAATATGTAAACAGCGAGGGATCTGAATGTTACAACTCTTACTCCTTGCTTTACGTTTTATATAAACAATACTGGATTAAAGTAAGAATGAGGAAGTCGGGCATATCACATACAACTTAATACGCTGATCTAGTCAACCCATGTTTTCTTTTACTCTTTAATTCTTTATGTATATTTATTCTAGCCTGGTATGTGTTGAAGAGTGTCTCGGAGATATTTCAGTATTGTGTGACTGAGTGGAATGCCATGGTGGTGTTATCTTTGCCCACTTTAAATTTTTAAGGAATCAAGTGGAAAATACTATTTCATAACTTATCCTTGAGATAAGCGTTGAGGATATGGCATATACAGGAGGTGTTTATATGGGAGCAGCTAGTGGTGTTTTCTTGAAAATACTGCAGTGGACAAGTGGAAGGTTTTCTGTGAAATGGATCAAGTTCTGTCTTAAGCATCAAGCATCACCCTACTTGTCTTCTGAAAGATTAAGAACTGTGTAAAGCACATGCCAAGAGATTTTATTTGTTCATCAGCGTGAGTACTGACGGTGTAAGGGCAGCAAATATAAAGTGACTTAAATAGCAATTGAAGGAAACTTTTGGAAGTGTGCAGTGAGCAGAAGTGCAGACTGTATTGCAGAGCACTGAATAACAAATCCCTACATGAGTCAGTCTATACCAAAATGCTGCACAGAAAAAGTACACCATTATGGGATTTAAAATTCAGAGTGGCAATTGGAGCTATAACATGGGAAGCAACGTGCCTGGGGAGAAGTAGGGGAGGCAGTAGATAATGTTTTTTTTCTGTAGGAAACCAGAGGCTAGCTTGTGGCCCTCTAACTGTAAATTATCCACAACTCCCGAGAGGCAGGATTAGGCAGAAAGAAACTCTGCTAGGTCAATGTTAGAATATGGATGTTCTCCTCTTGGTGTTCAAATGGTTGGATTAGTCATCTCTTGTATGTCTTGTTTTTCTACAGAAGTAATTGATAAAAGTCAAGGCTTAGCATTTTCAGAGCTGGGAGATCAGGGTAAGAGATGAGTCAGAAAGAAGTGCCTAGCAACTCGGACTGGAGGGACTGATGGCATGGGGAGCAGTCAGTGACGGGTGGCGTTAGCAGGGTGGTAGAGTGAAATAAAGGCAAGCAAGGAAGGATTCAGGCTTTATGTAGAACTGGCCAAATACTTGAATTTCGACATTCTGATGGCTTTTTGCTAACATTTAGACTAGAAGTTTACACCACAAGAGAAGTTTTATGAATTATTTTATTATAATTATTATTTTTTTATTTTTTATAGCACAGCAAAATTACCATGAATGGTGTTCTGCTGTGTGAAAGAGAGTATTGCAGCTTCTTTTAAGAGCTTGGGTGAGGCTGGAAAAGGTACTTTAGTTGGCAGGTGTAATTAGCAATTGGGCCTCATCTGCTTCATCTAGATGAATTATTTTCATGATCATTGTGTTATCAAATGCTTCGTGTATATAAGAAACATAAAGGACATCATTCATCATTTTTTATTTTTTATATTATACTAGAGCCTGAAAACACTAACTTAGAGACAGATCTTGATTTAAAAAAAAAGCAAGTTATCCCAAATCCTAGGGGACAGACAGAATGAAATAAATGGTTTTATAAGATCCGTGTATATTCAACACAGTCCACAGTCTAGTATTACTTCTAGAACACAACTGTCTCATTTTATTTTCAAAATGTCAACAGGCATTTACACAAGCTGTAATACTTACCTATCCAAAACAGGTACATGTACTTCAATAGTCCACTCTCCCTCATTTTCTTCAGCAATGGCACTGAGGAAAAAAACGTTAATTCAATTGCTTGCTTATCTGATTATGATCTCACACACAGATTAGAAATAATTGTTTAAATAAATACTTTAGTAGTGAAGCTACCGCAGTATAAAGCTGGTATAGCTGGGAAAGAAATGAGGTTGTCCTGATTCAGACTAAATAAAATGAGATCATAATTTAGCACTTTATTAATAGATACCATTGTGTATGCATATCCTCGTTTCTTCAAGGAAAGATTTTAAACCTTATATGTTTTGAATAAAATTAAAAGCAAAATGATGATCTAAAAGGGATGGCAGTGTCTCATATTGACAGGTACCTATCTCTGTACAGATATATCAGACAGTAAAAAAAAAGATTCTTAGATAACCATTGTAAAATAGTGTTCCAATTTTAACAGTGATTATCCTGAAGTTACTTACAGTTTCAGATTCTATAGGGAAAACAGCTAGAAAGTGGCTAATGGCAGTTATCATGTTACATATTGATGATTTTCTTTAGATCTGCATGGCCCTTTTTCTTTCTTTTCCGTAATTAAAATGCAGTTGATGATTTCCACAGCTACAGTCTTCCTAGAGTTTTGGAAAAGACGGAGAGCTGTATTAACCTATGACTGGGACCTCATAGACTGGGAAGATGAAGAGGTAAGACTAAACAAAAGTAAACTTGTCAGTCTGGCTATCAGTATGATTTAAGTGTAAGTATCAATATGTATTGTATGCCAATAATCTGAATTAGTCATTCATTCAGATTATATTTGTATTTATAACACTAGTTGCAGAATAAACAAGTATACTTGAGACTTTAGAAGAATACTTTGCCTTCTACAATGAGCATTATAATTCTAAATATAATCCTACATTTATTGAAAGTATCCTTGGAACAATCGAGTGCAAATACTGCCTGTACAGAGGAGAGGAGCTACTACTGATGTCAGCATATCAGATGCCTCTCAATTCTATGGTTTGTTGTACTGGAAATTCATAATGCTGCCTAAAAACAGGACCAAGACAAGTAAAGGGACAGAAATTAGATTTTACATCCTTCTGAGAGGCGTAACTTATCCGTTAACATTCTGCACTCGACATCAGCAATAATAGAATTATTTTATTACGTCATAAATCACTAGTTAATAGCTGTAATTTAACTGTATTGGTGATTTAACTGAAGTTTAAGTCAATAGAGAGTTGACCATTACTTCTTTTATAGCTTTCCATAGATGTGTAGATACAAGCTGCTGGCTTTTAATAAATGGTTTCATATCACAAAAAGTGATCATAACTGTCATTAACTTATAGTTTTCTTATCCATTTCTGCAGAGAAAATGTTTGAGTCAGTACTATGACCCATGATCCTTTCAATACTCTCACATAGTGGGGAAGGCTCTTCTGGTTTCTGTTCTTTGTTGGTCTCTGCCACTGTTTCCAAGGATTTTCAAAAGAAGAAAGTATTTGGATATTTGACTTGAAGCATTATAAGAAAGAATTTGTATCAATCTAAATTTCATGTCTTGTAGCACATATATGTCTGATTTTTGATGCTTCTGTGAAATAAGCAGTACAACAAATGGAATCTACCCTGTCATTCCAGGAAGAGCTGCGCCCACAGTTTGAAGCTAAATATTCCCAAGTGGAAAGAGTAAATCCCATCACAGGAAAACCTGAACCTTTTCAGCCTTTCCCTGATAAGCTCAGTCGACTGATGGTGTCTGTCTCAGGAATATTCTTCATGGTATTAATATGTAATAATATTGGAGTTATAGTAGCCTTTAATCTTATTCCGACATAAATAATGTCGCAAGTTATGAATGCATTCATTAAGATTAGTGGATTTACATAATATAAGCAAAACTGATTGTCTCAGTCTTACAGCTTGTTCATGGATCTCTTTCTCTGAAAAGATGTAATATAGTTATATTGTAAGAGTACAGTAATGAAATGTTTTAATTTATCAGTCTAGTATTTTTGTTCTATCACAGTCTGCTCCCTAAAACAAATGTCTATCTTTAAAATACTTGTTAAATTATTAATTAAGTGGGAATTATTTCAGATATGCTTTATTTTGTTCTAATATCTCAATTCATAAATTCTTGCCTGTAGATCTCACTGGTCCTCACTGCAGTGTTTGCAGTTGTGGTGTATCGTCTGGTAGCCATGGAGCAGTTTGCTTCTTTCAAGTGGTATTTCATCAAGAAGTATTGGCAGTTTGCAACGTCTGGCACTGGAGTCTGTATCAATTTTATGATCATCATGTCACTCAATGTTGTAAGTCTTCTGTTCTTTTAAAGGAGGGATTAATTTTAGAGAGTAATTTTTACAAGGTTTACTGTATATCAGATGTATTCATGTTTTTGCTTATTCATATAGCAGTGCCTGAAGTTAGTGTTTCAGGAGTTTTTCCTCTTTTAATACTATGTTTGTCAATATTTTTCTCTAATGCCTACTTAATTTGTCCCTATACGTCTTTGCTTATATCACGAAGTCACACTGATACAGACTACTGCTTTCTACGTTTGCATTTTTTGTTTTTACATTGCTTTTTAAAATACATCTCTTCTCTAAATGGAACTGCATTATTTTCTTGGCCAAAAATTTTCTTCCTGTTTTTTTTTTTTAATTGATAGCTTCTAATTTGTCCCTTTCTTATTTAAAATACAGCAGTGGTATCGGTGTTGCACAGTCCTAGAATCACTGCGATGCATGGTTTTGGTTTAAGCTTTTCCTGTCATGTAACAGCACACGTTTAATCATTTGCTGTGGTAGCAAAAAGTACATTGATGTAAACTCTATTCCTTCAATGGCAATATAATTTTTTTTTTTTAATTCCTGTGCAGGCACAAACATGTAAAAAAGAATAATAGCACAGTAAACAGTGGCTTTTAATTCTCTTAAGGAGATTGTGCACTCACTTCAATAAGAAAGCATTCTTCCAAACAGACTGTTGTATATTTATTTCTGGTTTTATATATGATAAATCTAAGTCATAAAATGTACATTCAAGTGAACAAGCAGCCCAAAGCTATGGAAAATAACTTGCTAGTGATAGTAAATGCTCCAGGAAAGATTTTTCAGAATTGACAACTACGTTGAGCTAAGTGTCATTTCAAATAAAGCCTGGAGATAGTCAATATATGGACAGACAGGAAGTTTCCCGTAGGAGGCTGGTATCCTCACCAGTATGCACATTCATACAAAGGAACATTGTATTGTGTAAAGGCTTTTGCCTACTTTTAGATCACATAGGTTTGTTCCTGAAGCTAGAGGATAAACATCTAACTGTTCATTAAGAGAACAATTGATGTCTGAACACTGGGCTCTTGATTTATCTTTATTGTATACTTAATGCATATACTTACATACATACATTTACATGGATAGAGAGAAGGGGACTAAAGTAGTTCAATGAAGTCTTTATAGGAAATGATCCATCCACATGTAGCTACAACATCACGCTCTTCTCTGTCAACATACCTGGATTCGGCAGGGCAATAGAACTTCTATGCTTTTGGTGCTTGTTTTCATTCTGGATTTGACATCACAACAGACAGGACATGCTATACTTATACCATCTCTTATTTCTGTTTTAGGTATATGAAAAGGTTGCCTACCTCCTGACAGACTTGGGTATGTAGGTCTTTACTGGTGGTATGATTCTTGTTAGCGGTGGCATATTACCTTTATATTTCCATAAAACAGTATTGAGAACTTCATCTATGCATAGTATGATTCCAGCATTTCCTTAAGCGAGTGAGAAATATCAGAGAAGGAAATTATATGATTATTTCACTAAGGAAATAATAGAAAAGAAAGGAATTTATTCTTCTACTTCACTTTTTTTTTTTACATTTTATAGTATAAATTGAAAAACCTGTCATCTATAATGGAACAAAAATCAAAGCATTTTCTTTCTTAGAATGCTAAACCAGATTTTTTTCCATTTTTCCCAAATGCTTGGTCATATTTTTTACAATTTTTTAATTTGTATTTTTGTATGGAAAAGTGGGTTAAGATATAATTGCATTGTCCAAGATAAAAATGTTAAGTCATAAATTTTAAAGTCGCTCTAATTCTGTCACGTTAAAAATTTGTACTGAAGCCTCTAGGTATGATTCATAGAGGTAAAACTTTCTAAGTTACAGAAAATAAGAAAGAAAAGACAGAGTTTAAGATCTTCTACAGTGTGAATACGTTACTTTTTCATGTTTCTTCTTACATGCTCTCTTTTAGCCCATGTCAAAGTATGCATTTGATCTTGCCATAGATTAAAAGCAATCTCGGTGCTTAGGTTTAACAGCTCCCTCTTCTGGTTAAAGTATTGAAGAGCATGCATCAAACAAAATGCTTAAAACTGGAGTGTTTCAGATAACAGGCAGTTGAACAGGTTAGAAAGAGAATGTGTAGTCAACTTATCCAAATTATTAAAATATTTTAAAATATTTTTTCAGATCATACAGATTTGTGTTCCTACTTAACTTTTTAAATACATTATGTTGTTACAGACCAGGGAATGGGAAAGAAAATAATGATGTCATTTCAGTACACAAGCTGATTTTTCCCAAAATATATGAAAGAATTTTTTTTAAAAGGAGCTTCTTGAATTAAGAGTGATGGGGCATCATCTCTGTGAGCTAAGGTAGCTCACTCCACTTCCTAAGGTGTTTTACATCAAAGAGACAGAAGACATCTTAACCTCTGGGAACAAGTGTTCATATGTAAAGCGAGTATCCTGTACATTTGTATCCTCATTTAGGCATCCTTAAACCAAAATAATTAAGTAGTACGAATTTTAACTGAAAAATCCAGGCAGTTTAGACTTCCAACACATATATGTGCTTTAAAGTGTTTATCAATGTGCTATATTCTAAGTTTGATACATCCATCAAAGAAATTTGAAATTTTTACAAAAAAAAAAATCATTATCTCCGAGTTCTAATTCAGATATAAATCATGTTCTACAAACTGTAAGGAAAAGCATCCAAGGCAGTGCAGACACGCACAGAATGCTTGTAGCCCTACTCCACATTTCTACATTTCTTTCAAAAAAAACAAAAAAAAAAAAAAAAAAAAGAAGGACCTCCATCCTTTCTTTGTTACATTATAAACTGTGTGACACTTCACAAACATTATGACAGGGAAGTCCTGTGGATGAAGTAGTCTTACGGAGGTATTTAGAAGGCAAGATGGTTGGGTGAGAACCCAAATGATTGTTGGTTGTCTCTTTTCCCCCTGCTTTCCTTGGCAGCCCCTGTCTGTGACTCTGCAGATGACAAGTGCTTTTGCTTTCTGTTTGGGTTTTTTTTTGTTGTGTTGGATTTTTTTAAATCAAGATATCTGTAGCCTTAAAATTAAAGATTCACACTGAATTCAGAACTTTTTCGTGGAAATGAAACAGGGTAATTGTTAAAAAAAAGTTTCTTGCAACCTGATTGGGCACCATGACTTTAAACATCACTTGTTTTGTTAGCGCTGATTGATCTGTGGGCAAAGTGAGGCATAACTTGATTTTGGTTTTGTTTATGTAGTGTATATTGTGTCTTTCCACAGAGCACCCTAGAACAGAATCTGAATGGGAAAACAGCTTTGCCTTGAAAATGTTCCTCTTCCAGTTTGTCAACTTGAACAGCTCCATCTTTTACATTGCCTTTTTTCTTGGCAGGTAAGTTATCTTTGCTAACTGCTTTTAAAGGAACACTTGCACGGAACTTGCAATCCTTGCTAGTTTTATAGGTTTGAAGAAAAATACAGTGACTGTTCAAACTGCAAGATTTAGATGCGAGTGAGTGTCTGAGGATAATTAATAACACAAAACTGATGTTTTTAACTGTATGTGAGGGCTGGACCCTTGCAATCTTTACTCATTAAACTAGACAGTAAAAAGTCTACTTTTTAAGTGGGTCTAGTAAATGAGAATTCAGAACCTTTGAAAATGCAGTCGCTTACTAAATGCGGGTCTGTATTTAGCTGTGAGCTAACAGGCTTTATTCATTTTTTCTTGTTTATTCCCATTTGGTTACATTTCCCAGGATCCATTTCTATAAATAGTAAATATTGTCTGGCAGGTCTTATGCAAGAGTAGGAGGCGGAAATTCTGTCTCGAGTTTCTGTGTGTATCTTTATCTCAGAGCATGAGATACTGGACAGGTCTAACTTTGCTTCATCTTCAGTTGCATTATGATCAGACTTATCATTCCCACAGAACCTACAGAGTATTTCACAGTACCTTCCATAAAGTTTTATAATATCGTTTCAGTTCAAGATTGGGGGAAAACTAGTAAAAACTGTTGGTAATATCTGCTTGCTACACCCAGTGGTGTGTTTGCCATATAGTTCCTAAACTTTTTTGTATCTTGCTCTTTCCCGTGTCTAGTAGGACTGGGCACAGGGTTATTTTCTCTCCTATTTATAACTTCCTGTGAGGTCATTAAGAATTTTGATTAAATTCATTGTACAAGAATGTGTTAGATCAGTAAAAAGCATTTAGTTGTGATGGGTTTGGAAGTGATTTTATGCATATTTCATATGGACAAGCAGATCCCTGTGCTGCAGTAAATTCCTGTGTATTGCAATGGCTTATTTTCTGAGAAGTAGATTAGAGAGTCTGAATGTCTAACATCTGAAACCTCTGAAGCTAGGATTTTTGTTCTGGACATAATAAAAGCTTAGGATTGCTTGCAGAATGATGGCCCTTGTTTGCATTCTGAAACTACCATATCCTACGGATACCAGATTTAAGCCCGTGTGATTTAATGTGTTTATAGTTCATGACTTTGCTCAGTGAACGTTGTGAAATAACTACTGATACAGGGTGTTCTTGGAAGGTCCACTGAGAAACAGAAATCTTATTTTCCAGATTTGCAGGCCGCCCAGGAAAGTACAACAAGCTTTTTAACAGATGGAGACTGGAAGAGGTAAGCAATCTTATTTTGTATTCCTGTTAAATTTCCATGAGTAAAAAGGAAATGGCTGAAGGACATGAATTATGTCCAGTTTGAGAGTTATTATTCCATCTAAGTGCAGTGAGGAGTAAACTCTTATTTATAGCAAAGGATAGGAAACAGGAGATATGTTTTTCCTTCTTTGTTCTGCACTGTGCTGAGTGACTCTGCCCGAGACACACAGTTCTTTCTGCCTCTCTCTTTAGGAAAAGCAAACAGTGATAGTCCCCTACCTCATAGGCACTAAGTCATGCGTGATTGGTATCTCCTGGGTATGTGGAATTTTTGGATGGAGGACATAAATATAATTCCATCAGCTTTTTTATTGGTTTCTTAAGTTAATGCTAGTGTGAAAATACTGGTTTGAAAGAAGAAATATAGTATTTTCAAAATTTAGCTTGAAAATGTGTTAAAATAGCGTCTCCCTTGGTATCACTAGCATGCTGAAGTTATCTCTTATCTCTGAAAAACAGGGTTCTGCTGTTGAACCTTGGTAGCCACAGAATAAAATACCATCACTTTGTAGTCGGTGGTTTAAAAAAAGCTTCTCTAATTTCTAAACATTTTAGTACGGCAATTTGTATAGTTAAGATACCAGTAGCAGAGATTCAGCTACCAAGTCTCTGTTTGGACTCGGGATATTCCAAATGAAATATTGCTCCATTCTTTTGAAATGAATGCATATGTATTGGTCTAAGTGAAATGGACTATATCATCTATCACGTATCTAGCACACATACCCTTAGATTAAGTAATACAATCCAGTGCTCCAGGAAATAATATGTCTAAAATAATGTTAATATTTCTGTTATTAGTATTGCTTTTAATATTTCTGCAGCCGGAGGTTAGTGTTTTTCACCAAACATATTTGACTATTTTCCATTCACCCTGTAAACAAACAAAAATGAAAGGAATTCTCTGATTTTAGCTACTCATCTTTTTCTGTTTCATTTCAGTGTCATCCCAGTGGCTGCTTGATAGATCTGTGTTTGCAAATGGGAGTTATTATGGTTTTAAAACAAATGTGGAACAACTTCATGGAGCTAGGCTATCCGTAAGCTCAGCTGTTAAAATTTGTTTTACAAACAGTGATTATATATTTGTGTGATTCAGCGATAGGGAAAAACATTTTTTCATTTGAGTGGAGGGCAGAACTTCACCGTTAATTGAAATTCATTATCATAATTAATTGATGAAGACAATGAACAGTTCTTCCCCTATGTGCTTTGAGAAGCATAGAGTATAAATAGTAATTCTGCCAAAAGTGGACTATTTCAAGTACAACACATGATTGCAGAATGTTTCCACGTTTCGCATCTCACGTACTGTAAATTTATTCCCAAGGGAAGCATTAACTGCTGCTCGAAGATAAAGCTTTGCAGGGTATGTTAATCATCTGAATTGTTTACTGTGATTTCATTTCCCATAATACAAGCAGAGCTGCTCAGCTACTGAAGAGAGGAATGGTCTTACAGCTCTCTTGAAACTGGAAGAATATGTTTTCAGTAAAAGCAGAAGGTTGCTCATCAAATATTAATTTAATCAAAGTCTCAACCTTGAAAATATGTCAGAAAGGGTTATGCTCACAATGTGGAATCCTTCTGCAAGTGAGGATCAGTGTACTGTATTGTGAGACGTGGATTTCTGAAATGAAGAAATCTGCTTGAAGTATGAGGCTTCCTGTATTCTCAGCCCAGCAGCATATTAACTGTCCAGAATTTATTTTAGAATATGTTTATTTTCCTTTATGGAAAGCAGTGTTTTGTTTTGACAAAACCATTGTCTGCAACGAGGCCTTTCAGTAACTGGAGAGATCAAGAGCTAAACACTGAATTACCTTGAGAAAAAATAGCAGCCTGTTAATAAAAATACTTGTAAGAAAATTATTCCCCATCTTCAGTCTCTTTTCAGTAATATCTGGAAACAAATTATAAACTTTAATTGCCACCTGTGCCAGTACTGGATAATATTTTTCATTTGTACAACACTTCAATTTGTGAAACTATTACCTACCTAATGCTTATAGCTACTTTGTGAAAGGACCTCGGAACACCTTTATGAAAAATAGTCATAAATGTTTGCAACTTCAGCAACACCTCTTTGGACATTTTTCCTGCTTCAAGAAAAAAATATTCTGTAGAGCATCTAGATCTTTAGGTGTGTTCGAAGAATAGTAGACATATTCCACTATTCAATATATTCTAACATCATAGAGTTCTTACTGAGCTCCACTTATTTGGTTTGTCTTTTACAGGATTAAAAATAAAGCATTATTTACTTTTTCAATACTCTCCCTATGCATGTTTTTTTTTCTTGTTCTTTTTTGTATTTAGGCATGCAGCTAAATCCTACCAGAAAAAGTCTGTGGGATCGAATCCATATTCTGGAAAGCTTATCTGTACAATGCCTAACATGCTACGTTAAAGACATAATTAAAATCATAATGCAGAACTGAGAACTTTTGGAATTCTGTGAATTGTATCTTATATGATATTGTAAATATTTCCAGAAAATACCTAAGTAAACATTCAGGTGCTGTTCAAAATAGGCCCATGTACTTCCAAACAATGCCAGCAAGTATTGTGAATTACTGAGCACGTACAGTCAATAATGCTCTCTTTGTCTAATAAAGTTTATTACAGAATTGGTGGTCACGACGCAAAATGAAGAGAGGAGGGCAATTAATGGAGCACAAAATTTCTCTACCTCAGTGGGAAAAAGATTGGAATCTGCAGCCCATGAATCTCCATGGTTTAATGGACGAATATTTAGAGATGGGTGAGCACATCTAGGGAGGTGTCTGTTTTCTTAAGAAACTGGAACTATGTTGCACATTAAAAGATCTTTTGGATTTCCAATTTCTGACCATAGAAATGCTTGTCTAGTTTTACAGTTTGGCTTTACAACCATCTTCGTTGCTGCCTTCCCACTGGCACCTCTCCTGGCATTGCTTAACAATATCATAGAAATAAGGTTGGATGCGTACAAGTTTGTCACTCAGTGGCGAAGACCTATGCCTGCGAGAGCAACGGATATAGGTGAGAGAGCCTAATGACTGGCACTGTCACGTACCATCTCTTTGTGCTTCCTGCTCTAATGTAGCTTAACCCTCGAAATATTTCGTGCATCAAAAGTGAAATTGATAATGTAGCTTAGAGATCTCAATGGCAACTCTCTTGTTAAGCAACAAAAGCATACTCAGTTGCTTAGCTAAGAGGACTCCTCAAATTTGCTTTCCATTTCCAATAAGAGATCATAATAAATGGAATTTTGAAAACAAGCTAAACAGTATTTTAGGCTTCTGATTTGGGGAACTGTAGGTCTAAAATACTATCCAAAATAAACTGAATTTAAAAATTAAATATAAGGACTAACTTCACTTTTGGTTTAAAACTGAATTAAATAAAAATAAGAAATCTCTTTCAAAAATCTTCTGTTTGGCCTTTATAACCAAAGTTTAGTGTTAAACCTTTGTTGCTTAGCTATTTCTTCTCATCAGGGTGTTTCCTACTGTAAGACATCATTCAGGTGGAGCCACTGGTCGCAGGAATGTGGGGACATGGCTTAATCTTGACTAGCTTTTCTGGCTGAATAATTCTTTCTCAGTAAGAAAGGAAAATTGTATGACTAATAATTAATTTAATATCACTAGTGTGACTTTATATGACTTAGTATGACTGTTAAAAACAAATGACACCATTGTCATTTTCCTTGTTTCTAGGTATCTGGTATGGGATTCTGGAAGGAATTGGAGTTCTGGCTGTCATCACCAACGCCTTTGTTATTGCCATTACTTCTGATTACATTCCACGTTTTGTCTATGCATACAAATATGGTCCCTGTACAGATCAAGGATACAGACAAGAAAAGTAATTAAGATATTCTTGGTATATACATGTTTATTTCAATGGAAGCACACTTTTGTTACTGTCTTTCTGTGTTAAAATATTTAGCGTACATCAGTAACGTTTTACCTTTTACATCTGTGCAAACCTTCACAGATGTTATATGCAAGTAACTCAGCCATACCAGAGAGTGTACAAACTAACTTCACAGTTACAGAAGTGGAAAATCATGTCTTCCCTTCTGAATGCATACACAAAGTCTGATATACATCGTAGCAGTTTTCAGGCTTTCTCTCGATAAGCTTTTCTTCTTTTCTGCAATAGTTCTGGATCGTCTTCTCCCACCGTGCTCCCACATGCATATAGATGCTCCTGAACCCTTTTCTATCCTACACCTTGTTCGCCCTCAACCTTCTCCACCTTTCTCTTCAGAAATGCTTGCAGCCAAGCTCCAGCAAGATTGGCCTTGATGCTATTTAGCCTGGGTCTGTGTATATATATATATATATATATATATGGACTATATAGATAGCGTATCTTAGCTTCAAGCACTGGATCTTGCCTATCTTTGCACCACCAGGCCGGTTTCTTGCACTTCCCTCCAGGCACTTAGCAGTGTCTCTGTACTGTGGGTCTACCATGCTCTGCCTGTGTTTCCCACTGTCTGTCGTGACCCTTTAAATGATCGAAACAGATCACAGTGCTCATGGGCATCCTCTCATTCATTTGGAGACCAGTGTCCTACGAGTGGTTTTGGGGGGTGGTCTTGGAGAAGGCCCTTTGTTAAATTACAGGACAGATTTTCAAGAAGATGGGATATCTTACATGTCTGTGGTTTTCCAGGAACAGACAAAAATTTCACTCCTACGGTCATAATTCAATGTGTTTATGTGTTTTCTGTCATTAATAGTAATAAATTGTTGCCTTTAAGGTTGCTGTTTGGTATATATGCACTGTTCATTTTACTGCTGGTGAAAATTCTTCTTTTATTCGACCCATAAAACATGTCGGTTTTTGGTATATGCTGCATGATTGGTGGCAGATTGTGCAAGGATATTAAATTATTCTCTCTGCCTCACTAGCCATCTTTCTAAGTTCAGTAATTTTAGGAGACAGTGAATAACACTATAGCAACTATTTTTGATTTATGTCTGCTAGCAGATGAGAATCAAAAACATGAAAAGTACTGAAAATATATTTTAAAATAGTTTTATCCATGAAATGGATGTTGTTTCTTTCCAGTAAAACTATGCTTTAAATTTTAGAATTGCTTTTGTCCTGATAATCAAATAAAATAGTGTGCTCACAATATGTGATAGCAGAACATGTTTTCATACAGGATCTATACTACATAACCACTTTATGAAGAAAGTCCTCACCCTATGTCTTTTCTTTCAGATGCTTAAAAGGATATGTCAACAGCAGTTTATCAGTGTTTGATTTGAGTGAACTTGGGATGGGATACTCAGGATACTGCCGGTATGTTTCAACGCTCTCCCTTCTTGTAATACAGACAGAGACATTAATACAGACATTAAATTGAAAATCAGTGCTTAAATTACTGGCAGAATAGTTTCTTTTTTGCCTGTAAAAGCTTTGGAGTTCAAGCTTACTCAACATGGGAGTCACAGGTACGAACACTGTGTGGTAGGACACAATACTAACACACTGGAAACCTGTATTCTACATTCTTCCAGGACTCTTGCAAGCTATATCTTTCATGCCCCTGTGAATTATTTCATTCTGAAGTTTCCCCAGCTGCAAAGATGAGTAAAAATTCTCATTTCAGTTTTGTTAAGCATTCTGAGGTCTATTAATATACACAATTAACATTTTTGTTGTGGCTCTAACCCAGGTCGAGATCCCAAAAAGTTATGCAGATGAATACAAGAAATTCAGTGTAAAAACTGAATGCAACATTGCCTGAGTGTACTCTAGCTGGTTTCAGATTTAGTTTTACAGTGAGAGGTAGCTTGAATTGACTAAGTTAGAGAATCCTGTTACATTTGTGCAAACGCTGTCTGAAGTATCTCAAATGCTTATAAGCAAAGACAAAAAGCAATTAAGAGTCAACACACTTGAACTTAACACTCCAAGGTGTCAGCTTTGTAACAACAAAAGAAATAATTTGCTCTGGATTTTTGGAAGCAAAAAGTACCGTCTTACAAGCAGCCCTATTTAACTCCCTGTATTGTGGACTATTCTTTTCCTTTTCTGTTTAATTCCTCTTGAAGTATGTTTTCACTTCAGTTTCTCTCCTTTTATCCAGATCTGGGATAAGCTAGAGAGCTCTTCACTGTGTTCAGGTTTTGGATCACTAGCTAACTTGCTGGGTTTTTCTTTGCTTTACAGATATAGAGATTACAGAGCCCCACCATGGAGTTCGACACCGTATGAATTCACCTTGCAGTTCTGGCATGTCCTGGCAGCACGGCTGGCCTTCATCATAGTGTTTGAGGTTAGTCATGGAAAGGAACAATTCCTTTCTACCTCTTTAAAGTCCAAGTGGATTTTTTACAGTAATCCCATAAATAAATTGTCAATAGTATCCATTGCTTGTTAATTACAGTCAAGAGAGAGAGAAAAAATCACCTTCCCCAAACTGTTCTCAATCAGTCATTTTGAACTGAATTGACAGAGCATGCACAGGTTTTTGAGTCACTCCAAAATCATGTTTCCTTAACAGTCATCTTATAAATCATGTTGGTTCCCAACCAAATCTTTCATGTTTTATTGAATAAGAAGAAATGCAATTTATACATACATTAAGCACAGTTATTACCAGTCGGAAAAATAATATATGATTATAGTGTAATATAAAAGTAGAAATGTGTGTACTAACTTTGAAGAACATATTACATGCTGTCCAGGAATCTGGTTACTTCAATTACAAGCTCTTAACAAAGACTGCTTGTAGGTAGTGTTTGCTGTTGCTATTTAAACTAGCGTAGCCTGCAGTCACATCTTAATTTAGGTCACTACCTGTACGCTTAGTTTTACTTTTCAGAAGACTTCATTGTTTTCCCATTTCTGATAGACTGCTCATTTACTCCCATGTATGTGTGTATCTATTAAAAAAACAACAGAGTTACTTTTCTGTCATTAATCGAATCTCATTTCCCGTTTTGACACAGGCTTCTAGGACCCTAATGGTCCTAGAAATGAATATTTGTGCATCTTTGAAGCAAATATTTTTGTTCTTCTTTTCAGCACCTTGTTTTTGGCATAAAGTCTTTCATTGCCTACCTGATTCCAGACATGCCCAAAGACTTGTGCGACAGAATGAGGAGAGAGAAATACTTAGTCCAGGAAATGATGTATGAGGCTGAACTGGAGCATTTACAGAGAGAAAGGAAAAAGAATGGGAAACAGTATCACCATGAATGGCCTTAGTCACTACCATGCTGCAACAAAAACACTATTTGGAAATTGAAGAGAGCAGTTAGGAAATGCAGTCAGAGTCTGGCATCAGCGCGTGAGATTCGCGGTGTGCGTATGTTCTTGCTGGGCAGTACAGTTGCAAGCTTTGGCAGGAACTGGAAAATAGATGCTTCCGATGAAGAAAAGGAAGAGCCTGACCTGTAACTGGTCTGTGGTGGGCACCAAGGAGAACTGGCACTCAGGAATGTGCAGACAGATTAAAAATTCAGACACTCTGGTTTAAAAAAGGCAATGAATTTTCATGGGGTTCATGAAGATACTAACAGCATAATGAAAATAAAAAATTACCTGTGAACTTATACAATAAGGGCATGACTAAAACCAACATACGTGATATCCACTACAGCTTCTGATTGCTCAGCTCCATCTGTAATGCCTCTGAAGAAAAGAGCAATTGTTGCCTTTGTGGCCATAACTTGATGTAAATGATCTTTCAGGCTTACTGTTTTGTCAGGTTTGTCCTAGTCTCTTGTTGAGATTGTGGATGTGGTCTTACCCTGAAAAAGGGGTTTATGGCTGCTTAATATATACTATGCAGTTTAAGATTTGCACATCAGTGTAAGTAATTTATCCTTCTAGTCAAAAACCAAAAATTCTAAATTCAAAGAGAAAATGGCAGCACTAAGAGAACGCATCGCATTGCCCACATTGCAGCTCTATTGGAAAATGATGTGGCTGTTGAGTTGTCTTTCCGCTTTCGTGTGCAGAAAGGCCACCTCCACACGCTTGCAGGATGAAAGAACTGTCATTTTCATGCTCTGATGTAGCATGCAGATGTCTAACTGTGTTACTCTTCCCTTTGACCCAGCTGGGCAATGATTCCTGACTTCACTGAATGCTAATTTGAAATATCCTCATACAGTGCAAATGACTGCATCCTGAATATACAATTAACTCTTTATAGTATGCAAGCTTATGCAGATATATATCAGACATGCAGTATAACATTGTGACTTGCTTGTTCAGGGAAGGAGAAGCAGAGCACTTTGTAACAATGCTCTTCTTATTGTAATAGTAAATGTTCCAGTAATGTGCACTCCTTTTATTGGCCTAAATAAGTCAAAGCATGGGAATTAGATACAGGCAGATATGTATACAGATTGTATATAAATGCACACACACACAGTGGTTACTTTTAGATTTTTTTATTATTATTTTTATGTCTTATGACAGTTTTGGGGGGTTTTTTGGATAAAATCACTATAAAAGGTAGATGTTCATGGAAAGAATCAAATTTCAGTTTTTATGTGCATACAGCAGTGTTGCTTATAGTCACATTTTGGTGATGAAATTGTCTATTAACAACATTTCATGATGTGGGAAGAGATAAGCACTTAATTTAAACAATTAAAGTGTTTAGGGTTCACTTGCAGAGAATGGAGTGGAGAAACAGTTACAGTCCTTCAGTTTCTCTTGTACAACTTTAAATAATGCTTGTCTATATTGGATGAGAAAAATTTAAATATGAAGAGTCAACAAAGCATAATAACTATAAAGGCTACCAATTTTAACATTATTTTTAGGGAGAAAGCTGCAGCTTTTTTGAACCAAAAAGTGTGATTCCAGTATTCGCTTGCATGTATTAGCACAATCATTTTATTTTATCATGCCATATGAAATCGATTTTAAGAGTCAAGAGCCCGTCAAAGTGTCTGAGTAGGATCTATTTTATCCAGAGGGCCTAGCATCAGACCATAAGTTCTTTAGTCATTTTGCCATATTCATGGGATTTCTTGGTTAATTCCAGCTCTCTGTGACCAGACAAGGCAACTATAGGAGTATCTCTACAGTCTTGCACAAAGGAGGAGGGAAATTGGCAGGTATGGTCTAATCAGATATATTACCTGTTAGTTCTGTGATAAAGGGCTAGTGGGATCAACTTCCCATTTTTTGGAATAAAGGCTGTATTTTCCTTCATATTCTGGGTTGTGCATTAAGTTCCTCAGCAGTCCTTATCAGAAGTAATTCATGCACTCTCTTCAGTGCTTATAGAACTACACCGTTTGATTTAATTTATTGTCTCTCTATTTCATTTTGTGGATTACCAAGCACTGTCTGACAGTGTTAACCGTGTGTCACAGTTTCTATTTCTGTGACACATAGAGATAGCACTTCAGTTCTTCAGAAGGTCACAGATGAGCTCTCTTTTTAATGTTTTCTCTAAAACCAAAATGCCTTGGCTGGCCCAAGGTATACAGGTACAGGACAAAATCAGGCAAAAAAATCAGGAATATTGATTGATTGTTTTATACTTTCCTGTTTCTGCTGTGGATATTAGCACGTCTCAGTACCTACTTAAGCAAATTCCAATTAGACTTAAAAAACACATAGGAAAGAAAACCTTTTCGTATTTGAGATTTAAATAGATATATTATTAATTACTTCAGCACTGGTGGATAGGAGGATATCAAAGGCAAGTATGTAGGTCTGACATTGTGTGTTTTACGCACCGGAAAAGCACAAGAACTTTTGGTGAAACACTGTGTGTGTTCCTTTATTTTTGGAGAACATCAACAATGTCTAAAGGTTTTGCCACTATCTAGCCATTTGCTTAAGCTGAGAACACTTTTTGGTAGATTTCATTTAGTATGCTGTTTGCATTGATTGCACGTTATTTTACTCAAGCGTAAGGCACACACCGTCCTCAGGAATAATGTATTTTATGAATGGTGAATGATCTTTTCATATTCTAAATATTGTCTTTCCAAACAAAATGACTAGTATGACTAGACTGTGCATGCAAGCTGCGTTTGTGAAATCTGACAAAGCTTTAGAACTTCAATTTGTGCAGAAATGCTTTAGATAATTGCGGATCTAATCTCTGACAACTTTGCTCTATGCATGCGCCCTCAGAGAGACTGCATGAGCAACTAGATATTTTTAAATACAAAGGATTAGTCCAAAATGTCTTAATTATTCCTAACCAAATTCTGTGTCTTGATTCAGACAAAAGAAATTTACACTTCAGAAATGGCAAAAAGTCCACATACATTCTACACATCTCTTTATTCTAAATTTGTGCCTAATGTGTAAGATCTGAATTCTGATGACAAAAAAAAAAAATAATTCTGCTTCATTGGCCATCCTAATGAGAGGTTCCTTCTTAGAGCTCAAAGTCTCCATATAGACGGATGCAGTAAGAGCTCAGTGTTCACAACTAAGCACTGGCAGGGTTTCCTGAAGATTGAGCACAGGCTCTCAGTTTGTTATTCCGTTTCCCTGCCAGAAACACCGCACAGTGATGGAGCATCCTGATAGAGTACTAATATTTGGAAACAAAGCAAACCATGTGATGGCTATTTTTTTAATTATTTTTCTTTCCTACTCCTTTTTGGTAAAGGATTTATAGAGAAAATGTAGGTGAACATTGAAGTTAATTTTGATGATGACAAGGCTAAAATTTCCTTAGTGATGATGGACAGTAAGTGGTTTTTTGTTAGATGTTTCTTTGGAAGTACCTATCTTCATTACTACAAAACACACATCAGCTGTTGCTATGCCCTTTTCCAACACCAAGTTGTCTTAAATTGTGTTCTGAGGATCAGCTGGGCTCAATTGTGTCCTGTTGAAAGCTCAAAAGAAAAATATCTGGAGGGCCTGGTGAAAGTAGGTTAATAGGTACATACCTTAATGCATAAATTCATAAATCTCCCGAGGTTTCCTCCATTGAAAGTTCTGCAGAGGGAAAATCTTGGGAAACACAGCTTTAGGGTGCGTGTTAATATGGGGAAAGGCAAGAACTTTGGTGATATTTTATTCTGAAGGTGCCATTAAGATATCAGTCTCATGTAAGCAGTGCACATCTGATGTTCTCTTGCTGCAACTTCTCCCACTGCAGACTCCAAACGGGAGTGCTGCCAGAGAGAAGTTCTGGAGCCGTGGGATCCAGTGGCGTTACCTGCAAAGTCCTACATGTCATCTTGGGATTTATTAATCTTTTGCATTGTGTCACAGTTCATTCAGGGGCAAATTAGTACCTGCATATTTAGAAGCATCATATCATTTTGATTAACTGAAAATGGTCCTTGTCGATAAAATAAAGAAAAGGTTCTTACGTAGTTAGCTTACAAGTGCCACAAATTTTAATTAAAAACTATTACAAACTAGATTTTTTTTACATACACCAGGGAATGGTCATATCAATAAAACCAATTTTATACAAACAGCTAAATATGAAGGCAATAAAACTAATGGAAAATCAAACAATCACATTTTGTATTAAGTGGTACATAGGAGGAAAGGGACAGAGCTAAAAACAGTGGTATCAACAATCACTTACAGTGCAATAGTACTTCCAGAAGCATTTTATTTTTTTGTAAACCTCATAAACTATTAATGTTGCTTATTTGGGGGTGAAGGTTGAAACAAATATACAGCCAGCCTTTCATAATAATATTTATTTGGTTTTAAGGTTGTCACTAGAATTCAAACAAAAATCCACATTTAGACAAGAGTTGTTATTTGGTTAATTCCAATGCATACTTTGACAAAAATCCATGCACTGACACTTTTTGAAAGTGTTCAAGTGACTTGCAAACCTAAATTCCTATGATGGAAAATTTAGCACCTTTAACAGCTCCCTGAGTCTTTTTGTACCCAGCCTCACTCTTGCAAAGCCTGTGTTCTACTGGGGAAAAATGCACCAAGCCAGCACTTTGAGGCTGGGGGTGAGCAGAGGAAGCAAAGGGCTCCTCTTCACTTCAGCAAGTTTTGCTCCAGAATCCCAATCAGCTCTGCAAAACAAGGTGTTGACGCTGAAGCATGGTGACAGCCCTCCTGATCCCTTTCCTTTTCTCCTCTGGCTCCTTCTTTACTTCTCCTCAGTGTTTTATTAAATGATGGCTTCTTGCTGACAGTCCAATTTCAAGGGCAATTCTGTAACTGCAGAATTTTTTGCAGGCTCTTTTTGGATGTCCCTAACTGAGAAGCCAAAGCAGAAAGTGCACAAACAG